AGGCTGGGACAAACCCTGGGGGGGATCAATTACATTTTGGAACCACGTTTTACATCAATAACGTTTTACTCTGCATTTTATTACATCAATGGCTTGAAAAATTTTTATTTGATGTCGGCAAACATTGGAAATTATAGAAAAATGAGTCATGTAGAATTTCACAAAGGAATTTATCCCACTATAATTCCTCATACAGTAAAATAATTCAAAACCAAAATGTTACTTTTCAGTGGCTAAGCAATTTTATAATGCTATGAACATTCATCACAGTAAGTGTGCTGAATAATAGAAAACAAGCAAAAAAGACATTTAAAATATTACTTACAACAGCATTCTTACAACATACTTTCTTTAAAATCCCAACGAGTATTTTATCACTTCAAAAGCTATACAGCATTTCCATTATATTTGCAAACTTAACCTTATACATCTTTTAAAATCTTGAAAAAACTTCTTTTAAGCAATCTATAAGGAGTTAACAAAATTGATAAAATCTACATAATGGAATACTATACACTCCAGTATAAATTTTAATTTTAGGAGAATATGAATGTAAACACTCATTATTATACAACATGCATAGACTATACTGACCTTCCATCTTCTGAACTGTAACTTTCACTGCAATTGTGCTTTACTATCAACAGGAAAAGCTGCATTAATCCAGGGAGTGGCAGAAAGTATTTGCTTTAGGGGCATTGCACAAGATCACTAGATTTTGACTTGCTGAAGACAAGCTGGAGCTAATAAAGATAATTTTTTCTTTGTTTTTGAAAAGATTAAGTATCAGGCCACTCATCACTGAATGGGCTATGCATAATTTCATCGAGATTTGCAAAAAAAGGTGTTCTCAGAAAAAACTCCCCCTCTGAAGCGCGCTGTACTTCCGCGCGTCGTTGATTTGGAGATGTACGTTCCATCCAGCGACCGAGTTAGTGTAATGCACTGTTTGGCTCATATTTGGTGTGCAAGAATACCAACAGCATATTAGCGATTTAGAGAATAAAAACTGAAATTTAAAGTGACAATGAGCGTATTTTAGTACATACATGTTTCAGATGTATTTGTACAGGAAAGAAAGATGTTTGTCAGGACATTGCTTTAAGAGAGTAAGAGTTTCACTCTTTATTAACTATTAAAAAAGTGTTCTAGTGGATATTTATGGGGTCTTCCTGGTTGCAAACTTGCAAAAATATATTAAGAATTCATTATCCCCATTGGTATTAAATATATCAAGACAACCATTGTGTCTGCACTACCAGTTATGGCTACTATGGTCTTAAGCATCTGATTGTACATTGTTGCTATATTGGTAAGCACAACTGAGGCATGTATTTTTTTTCCCTTGGTTATAAGGTTAGATTACAAAAATCGATCACCGTTTCAAACCAGTTAAACACGAATATTCAAGTACAAGGTTGTTTTAATGGATAAGCGAAAAAAGAAGTTTCCCAGCACTTTACACAACTACATAAAAATTAAATAGAACAAATGAAATTTGTTTATGCATACGCAATACACTTTTATATCTTTAAGATTTCTAAAACTAAAACTTAAACTATCATTTTCTTTAACGATACCATATTTTGCACAATAACTTATACTTAGGAGAAATAATTTCCCGTTTTCCACAAAATATATATAATCATGACATTCACATTGATAGTTTAAGAAACAAAATTTAAGTGAATATTCTATCTTACGCAGTTATCTTTGTGGACCCTTCTAATCAGAATGCAACCAGTTGATGTATCTAATGCTTGACCCATTTTAAAAAGAAAGAGGGTCTTCACCTAAGCAAGACCAAACCATTTAATCTTTCAAAAGCTAAAATGACTTTATCGCATTTAAAAACATAGTTAAAGAGAATGTAAAAACCTAAACGTTTAAAATACAGTGCTATTATATTGTATGTACCAACTACAATAAGATAGCAGTCAACTGAAAAGTAATTAAACAACTTTTTTCTTCCTAATAGCACGAATTATACATGTTTCCCCCTATCCCTTGGGGATGAAGCCAAAACACAACTTTTCTGATCATAAGATGGATGTTTTTGAGGGCAAAACCAGATGAAAAGTCCTCACAGGTAACTTAGCTCGCCAGCAGAAGCCTCTCCTGATGAGTTTCACCAGCTGGGATGCAAGCTCACACCACCCTCTGGCACTGGCGAGGACCCGTCTCCGTGCACCGGTCCCAGCAGGAGGATCAACACCGGAGCACCAGAATGTGCGGCACCGCTTCACACCTGAGCCCACAGCCGAATTCACAGTGCTATCTGCCCGGTCTTCAGCCCTAACTCACGCTGCCTAACAGCTACTGTCTTCTCTCACGGGAGACTCCCAACTCCAACTGGCACAGGACTGAAGGAACGTCTGCAGGGCTACCATCAGAGCTGCCAGTTCACATCAACAGCTGTAGAGGCACTGCCAAGAACTTGGGATTACAGGTTTCTGATACAGAGGAGAGGGAATAGCTCCCTTCCATCCTCCCACCACCTCAGAAGATCTCCTTGGAGCTACCAGGATGAAAGTGGTCAGAAACAGCTGCCAAGTGGCCCTTTTTGGGCTCCACACCCTAGTTTGCCCAAAGGAATGCCTAGCTTCTCCTTCACGTGTATGTTGTTGCTCCATTTCTGATGCTGCATCACTTCCCTCACACAAGGCTCACCTCAGCTGCACATGAGGCTACCTCCCCTGCTTTTCCTTGGGTTCTGTCTACACTGCAGGAGGTGCAGTCACAGACGGCTCTGTTAGCCCACTGGCATTAGCCCGCCTCGCTTAGGTGGAGGGAACAGCCATCACCACACACAGCTCAGCCCAGCCCCTCAAACATCAGCACCAAGTTCGGGGCTAGGCTCCGAGCTGCAGCACCTCAGCTGCAGGCCAGGACATGGACTAGCTCATTTCAGGTTGTGTTAAGAGAGGCTGCTGCTGTACCCTGATGTGTGCCATCTTAGCTTGAGCCCTTTGCAGAGGAAGAGAGGCAAAGAAGGTCCTCTTCCCCACCTGCAAAGACAGCTGGTGGTTTCTTCCAACATCATTAAATTAACCACTTCTAAATGCTTTGTGACTAGTGTTATTTTGCAGCTTTCCACTGGACAAGTAACACTGCTGCTTCTAGCTTCTCTCAACACTGCTCGGCAGCAAGCAACCCCCTTGTTCAAGGTGCAAAGTCCTCCTACAGGACTTTGAAGAACAGCTCCAGCTCAAGCCAGTCAGATCGGCCACAGGACAAGTCAACCGAGCAGAGGGCTGGGGATTTGAAAGCTGCATGCACCAAGTATTTGGAAAAGCACCTCTTAGATTTTTAAATTGCATATTTTGGTTCAGAACATGAAAGCCATGTGTGCTTCAGAAGGGTTAAAATGGCCAATGAAATTAACCCAGTTGTTCTCCATTAAACTTCTGAGAGACCAACAACTATTTGAAGGTTGAATTTTGTGCTCCAACCCTCATCCAGACTTCCAGTGGGAGAAGCAGTTTGATGTCTTTGGCAAACAGCGCTCTGAAGAGGAATGAGACACTGGGACAGAAAGTGACCTATGGTAGCCAAATGTAAAAAGGCACGTATTCCAAAAGGAGAGGCACCAGAGAAAGTTGTTTTGACTTAATCCCGCAGAGGATTAGGAAAAAGAAAGTTGTGTAGCACTCATTTAAAAAGTTACAATGAAAATGCTGAATACCAGGGGTTAAATAGCGTATCAAACAGTTTCAGGTTACGATTCCCTTTTGCACTAAATAAAAGCCAGTAAAATATACAGGAATAAAATGCCCAATTAGGGAGCTTTCTATGAAGCAAGAACACACATATACAGTGGAAAGAATTGCACAAACCAGAAGTGTAATGAGATAGATCTACAACCTTGGACTGACTAAACCTTAGAAATAACGTTTCCTAACACTTTGCATTATTCAAGATTGCTTGTTAACATGCCCTGTCATTTCAGAACACACCTGACACCACTGGCATGTGCACAGGCCTCTCCTTTATAGAAAGCTCGCTAATAATAGTGTCATCAGAAGAATACACAGGAAGCAGAGACCACAAGGCCATGCAGCAATAGGTACTTATACCCTACAGACCAAGTATTATAAGAAGTCCTAACATGTAGAGTTACTGTGGGGCTGCTAAGGAGCTCCTTGCTTTGCAGGTTGGTCAAAACTTACAGACAGTTGTTACTGGTTCTAGAAATCCCAATGTTTAAGCAGGACCTTGATGAAATGGAAAGCTGAGCTACCTGGGTGCTTCTGAAAGAAAGTGGAGGCAGTATGGAGGAATGAGGGGAGATTAAGGCAGATGTAGCACAGGACTGGAAGCGTTTGCCTTTTTTGGTAATAGCTGCTTGTCCACAGATATGATGCAGATGGCTGTCTGAGGTTTGCTAATACCTGATATCCTGGATAACACAGTAGTCAACAAATTGTTCTAGGCTACAGCACCTTCTCACGAAGCAGATGCATATCTGACATCAAGAACAGAAGTAGCCTGGAGGGAAGGGGGGGGGGGGAAAAAAAGGAGATGTTTAGTTTAAAAGTGAATACACAGTCTTCCTCACATCTCCAAACTTCACCCCAGATCCATGCTACAGGAAGCGACAAGAGGGATAACTCTGGCACACAGGAGGAACCGCAGCAGCTTCGCCGGAATTTGCTGGGAGTGTAAACAGGAATGAAGACCAGAGCTGAGGCTGCCCCATCATCAGCACCTCACCCCTCCATCACAAAGATAAAAAACAAACAGGGAACTGTGGCCACTTGCTATGGAAACACACTGAAGGGGAAAGCCCACCGCTGTCAGAGGGCTGACAGAGCTTCTACTGGGCTGGCAGCCAGGTAAGCAAAGGCATGCTAGGGGACAAAGCACCCAAGGGACTTCAGTGTTAGGCCAGCAAAGCCTTCTCCTGGCTACTGCTGACTGAGTCTGCCTGACTTGAGAGCATTTGCACAGGCAGCTGGTCAAGAGCGGGCACCAGCTGCACTGTACTGGGCAGCTCAGGAGGGACTAGGAACACCCTCTTAGCCCATACGTATCACTTATGTGATAATCCCAACGACATTTCACTTTGCTCCCAGAACTGCCCGACAGGCACCCGCTCAGCAGTGTGCTTATACCACCTCCACATTTACAGCCAGCCCCAGAGGCAACGTCTGATGTGCTCAGAGAGCACGGTGGCCATTTGATGCCCTCTGTGTGACACCTCTGTGTCCTCTCCTTGTGCATTTTCGTAAAAAGCTGAAGGCCTGGTAGGTAACATCTCCTCCATGCTGCCAGCACCTTCCTACTCCCAGCTGTGACACACCAGTTCCTACTGTTCAGAACAGGCTTCATCAAGAACCACAAGCCATGGGGTGCTAGTGTAAGGTGTGCACGGTATGTCACAGCTGGCGGCTCAATGCCACCTTGGCTGGCTCCTGCCTGTGCCAGCCTGGTGCAGGCAGGCTCTGCCTGCATCCATCACTGCACTGCAGGACACAGGGAACCACCTGACTGCCTTTTGTCTAAGACATTGCAACTATTCCCACCAGCCTATTGCTGTGGTCCTCCCTGCACCACTCAGCACCTGCTATAGCCTGGGCACTTTCCATCACTAGTTTGGGGATCACGACTGCTGTTCCACTAGACCTTGGTTTCCTGCCTCCATACTCCCTCCTCTCCTATCTTGTTTGAGGTCCTCCTTGCTCCAGTATCCACACACTTGGCCACATCAGCACACTCCAGTTCCTGCTGCAACCCAGCATGCTTTCTTCCTATCTCGAGTGAGACTCCTTTTCTGACTGTATCTTTCAGAAGTAAGTGTGCACTTGAAGCCAGGAAGAGCCATCTCAGAGGGCACAGAGAAGAAAAACTCTGCACTGCCAACAGATACAACACTACTGGTCACAGGAGAAGGCAATGACATGAGCCACCTGTTTTTCAAATGGGTGGCTACATATTAGCACCATTGCTGCTTTGCTCCACTTCTCAATTCTGAAAGAATGGCACAATTTCAGTCACACCTTTCTGAGAAGGCAAATTTTTTGAGTTTCTGTCCATACCTTTGGACCTAGTCCCCAGATATAAACATCTTCAATTAGCACACTATTAGGATTTGTGAAGCAATAAAGTTCTGCTCTCTGAATGCCTGAACGGCAACATACACGTGAGCCAACCGTAATCAGGGCAACAAAAATACACAGTACACTGAGAAATGTCCATGTGAGACCAAAATTTGCCATAGGCTGTTGACTGTGCTTGCGTTTAGAAGACACAGCTTTTGTGCCAAGCTGTCTTATAAAATTAGGCCAAAGGGAGCCCTAGATCAGACGTTTCTAACACGCAAACCTCCAGCGAGGTTTTCTTTTGCAAGACTGTGTTAAAATTACGTTTTTGTAACTAACTTTCCTACTTAAACACTCTACAGTCTCTTAGTTAACTTCAAACACACATTGTCTTTGGAGAAGTCTTATCTCTGTGAAGCTCCATCAAGGAGAAGCCATTTCTAGAATTTGTCTTCTGATTTTACAGAAACTGCTGTAAAACCAAGGAAGCTTTGTCTCTAGGTATTCCGGAGTGCCCAGTCTGGCACGCTCGCCTTGTTTATAGCTTTCTTCCCTTCCCCCGAGTGAAACCACTCCATCGTCAGAAATGAAAGGGTGAGCTTTGCCTCAGAAGAATGTAGGGTCCAACAAAGCCAAACCTAGAACAGCTTGGAGAACTGAGTGCAGGGAAAACATCCAAGTGAGATAAAGATGTATGCGGTTTCGGCAGCAAGAGGCATTAAAATATCCACGTGCTGATGAGATACAGATACTGTCAGAGAGGTGCAAATTAACTGTTCTCCTTCCACTTTCATGTATGTCTGGAATTCTGAACTCCCAAAATCAGTACTGGAATCTGCATATCCAGAGGAAGTGAAATATGCTCCCATTGAAGATTGTCAAAAATGGCTTTTACAAAGAGCATATATATGTACACACACACACCCCTATCTGAAATGAGCTCAGATCGGGACTTTTAAATTGGATTTACCTCATCTTCCTCTTCGGACATTTTAGTGGAATTATCAGGGGATTTTACAGGCTTCTGGCTATTGGTTCCATTTGTCTCCTCTTTACCATGCTCTGCCTCCCACTCCTGTAGAACTTCATCTATGTTGAAACGGCGTCGATAATTTACAAAAAAGTTTTTCACTTGCACCACAGATTTGTTTCCAATCACATCAGAGATTGCCTGAAAGTCTCGGCCATATTTCCTGATTGCTAAAAGCAACAAAGAAAAACAAAAGCAGTGCGTTATTTCCACAAAGACCACAAATCAGGCTCAAGTCACAGCACAAGGATCTGAAGCTGAATTTCTGTCAAGATTTCAAGCCTTCCTCAGATTAATCCAGGGGAAAAAAAAAAAAGTCTAAACTGGCAAGAGACACAGGCAAGACTAGCCCTGGGGAAGAGAAGAAAACAGAGGTGTAGTAAAGATGGGCAGAGCCAAATGTAGAAGACCTGGGTATATCTGCCTGTACTACTTGAGACATTACGGAGGTAAAGAGCATAGCAATGACTCCAGTAGAGTTTCACTCTCTGAAAGCTTGGACAAGCAAAGATTTGCAGACGTTCATATGCTGCAATTTATGCGGCCCAGGGAGCGGAGTGGGGGGGATACTGTTTCCCTGTTCGGTTCCATTCTTTATGCATTAATATACAGCAATGTCAAAATACTTCATTATCCACTGAAGGGAAACACTGCTCTGAAATGCAGCAGAGTATTGACTGTCATGAACTGAAGTACAGACAGACTTGCAGTACCATACCTTGCACAGCAAGAAGCTGCTCATCCGTGGTCCAACGCGCATTAAATTTCTGAACAACCTAGACCGCAAAAAAATATTAGGTAAATTCATTTACCTAAGCAACAACTTTCACTTATATGTAAGCTCATAAAAACCTCACAAAACCACAAGGAATTAAATGCTAGTCAAACTACATCATTCCTTTTAGTCACAGAAATGTTTGCAACAGTTGTGCACAGCACCCGTTCAGTTAACTGTGACACACGCTGCGCCTTTAAGTCACGGTAATCCAGGGAGATAAGGAATGGTCTGAGCAGATAACCGAGAGCCACGCTCTGCCAAAGCACCTACTTGTTTTTATCACAGACACCCTCTGTAATCTTGGCCAAATTATTTCAGCGTGAGGTGCCAGAGTTGGAAGGAAAATGGCAAAAGCATCAAGTGCCAAGAGAAAGACGGGCCATTAACATCCTGACCAAAGTTGCAAAGCAACTACCTCTTCTCACAAGGGCAAATGGATACAACACTGGCAAAACGTGGTGTATCTGGGATATCTGTACTTCGGTTAGAAACCACTTCTAGCTGCTAAACACTGCTCGCTCTTCTCATCTCCTGCCTCCCATTTCCATTACAGAACAACAGTACATGTGGTAACGGCCTGGATTCACACTGACAACCAACAGGACCTTGGTCCCAGTTTACTGACAACAGGAATAACCCTGGTATGCAAACACAGATTAGCTTTTAGCTCTACAATAAACAAGGGTCAGAAGATGATCCTACCTCTGGAAGTCTGTATTGTTCTATACCACCTTCAAGTTTTTCTTTGAGAGCGCTGTTTGTCTGTTTGATATTCTGAATCTGAAAAGAGAGTTTCATCCCCTTAACAAGGATTTAAAAAAATTTGGTCAAATCCTCCTCCAGCAGCCCCAGCGGGAAGCCCACAAGCTCAGCATTCCAGTTTTCCTCACCATCTCCCTTTCCCAAAAATAAGTGTGTTATATCAGAATAGAGCAATGCAGTAACAGCTGGCATATCAGGAGGTTCCATTTAATTTATTCTGTCCTGTCTGCAAATTATTTTGAGCAAGAACTACCCCAACTTTCAGGGCTGTATAAAGCCCAGCATAAGAAGGCAGGCCCCATTCACACCAAGCAAGGAATCAAAGTGCTAGAGAGCTCTGCTCCTCCCAGAGTGCCAAGCAAAAAGGCTTTAAGCCAAAATATCAATTCTATTAAGTTCAAGAAAGAGCTTGAGCCAGATCTCTCCTTTAAAAACAGTGGGAATGTTCAGATCTAGGAAAAGAACTCATGTAGTAAACCTGTCTTTACTCACAAATATTTGAAGAACATTTTTTTAAAAGTCAGATCCATCAGGGAAGCAAAAGGTACATAAGAAAGTTTGTATGACGCCCAAGAAAGAATAAAACAAACGTATCTGCCTGTTGCAAAAGTACCACAGGAAAAGGCAATGGAAACTGATGGCTGCAGAGGGAAATCAGATATTGCTGAAACAAATGTCATCTGAGGGAAGTTCACAGTTAAAATGTAAGGAACTCTGAACTGCAAGAAACACAACGTGCCAACAAATGTCCCTTCAAGTCAGTACTATGGACTTTTCCTGCTTCAATTTAGGTATAAAGTTAGCTTGCCCACAGAACTAGAACATGAGATGTAAAACACAGGACTGCACTACGTCATAGCAGCAGGCCAGCAGCTTGTCAGTTAAGCTACGTGATGATGTGCATCAACACTGCCAAGCTACAAATTCCTATGAACTCTGCAGACTATGACAGACATTATCACCAAAACCAGAAGTTATTCTTAAGCTACCCCATACGTACCTGTCGTTTGATTGAAACTAATTCCATGTCCAGTTGTCTGAGTACAGTGGTTGCAGCTGTTGCGTTGGCCGAAACAGCCTCCACATCTTCTTGGGAAAGGAACATTCCTTTGGGAGGTTTCCTCTTTGCCCTGTTCTTGGCCTGTGTACTGTGCTTCTCCTTCTTCACCTGAGGAACAGTTTCAGCAGGTGGCACCTGACAAACAGAAGTCACATTACACGACTAGGTGATCTTTAAAGGTCCTTTCCAACCCAAACAATTCTGTGAATCTATGAGTTTTAGCCATCCTCAAATGTTGGAGAGCAGAAAAGGTAGCTTGCATAAAAGAAGACTTTTTTGCTTTAATTATGTCACACAAACACTGTGTTATACAAATCTTCCTTCCTTCCAGACAGCTTTCAATGTTTACAGAGGTACCTGTTGTCTTCTTTGCCCATTCTCATTTTGGGAGACAGATGCCTGATTTTCCAGCAGTTAAATAGTCTGGTTATTTTCAAATGCTGCAAAACCTCTCTTCTTGCTTTCATTACCAGGCCTGAACACATCAGATTAACTGAACACTCAAAGGGAACAAAGGGGAGTTTGGAGACAGGAGAACAACACAACTAGAAGAGTTTACAGAGACTTGTTTTTCTACATGTTAGACAGGAGAAAGCCTAAATCAAATTTACAGGCTCAGGATAAAGAAGCAAGGTGATTCCAAAGTAATGCTTGGATTATTATGCAGTTTCTTAGAAGCTAAGTTTTCTTGCATAGCACCATATATTTTATATTTTGCCCACAAAACATTTAAGTTTCTTTTGGGAAAGGCAGTATTTCACACACCACTAATTATTTTTATGCCTCCTGTCCAAAGCAAAGAACTAGGTGCACACTTCTAACAAGTAGCTTAGCTAGGACACTAGACCACAGATCCTTCCAGAGCACATCTGATTCTTTAATACCAAAACCATTTCTTCCAGAAGTTATTTTCAACAAGCGACTCATGCCCAAGATTTATTACCCAGTTGCTGAAGCCTGGCAAGGAACACAGAAGAAGGGTGGCAGGGAGCGAAAAGGCAGAAAGGGGAGGCCCACATCTGAAATCCTCTGACTGATCACTGCCAGCTTGCAACAATGGCTTCCCTCAATGCTATTGTTTTCATCCTAATTTGCAGCTACATGTAGTTTCTACAGTTTGCAGCATTTGCTCATCAGCGAGCATTAAAACAGAGCATTCAAACCCACAAGGCTGAGCACAAAGCCTCGTTTAAGCATGAGGCTCTGCCTCCCAAACACTGGAGGACCCCAGCACAGCTGCCAGTAGAAGCTTGCCCCAGAGCCACATAGGAACAGTAATGTGGACAGCTGCCTGTTCTCAGCTTTTTTCTTCTCTCCTTGAGCACAAAGGACTTCATGAGATACCATGTCTAAGGCAAGCCCAGGAGCAAGAGGTGCTGTTGTAGGGCAGATACCCTACTTCCTTTTGCAGAAGGGAAAGGGGAGCAGGAGAAACCAGACTGGTTTAACAATGAACAAGTGAGGTAAGCTCTGCACTCTGTGCTTAAGAAGCAAGCACTTTGATAACTGAGCCAGGTAAATTATTCAACATGGATAGACATTTCAGACTTATGCACAGCTCATCTATACAGAGAATTTCACAGGATCATGCAATAATGCCTCACAACAAGTTCAGACTGTAGGTTGACCAACACACAATGCCTGCAGTGCAAATATCCCAGGAGCCTCACTCAACATTAAGGAAAAAGGCAAATAGTTTCAAATTATTTTATACAGTTCAAAGAATGTGAAGGCTCTTTTGTGTTGTGGACAGGAAGCTGGAGCTCCAGCAAATGGTTTTTGACAGCTCCAAATGCCTCTAGGCCTGTGATACTGTGCAGGCTCTGAAAACTCTGAATGTCTACCCTATCTTGGAAAATGTTGCTTCCTTGCAACACTCATCTCTCTGTAGAATTCAGTCAATTCATGAAAACCAGAGAATTAAAATGCAGGGATTTAGCAGTGCTTCTATTTATTTACATATTGCCACTGTTGTTCTGTGCACTTTAGTCTTACAAACTCTGTACTACAAACAAGGTTCCCTTCCTCAGATTTCATGGTGTAAAAAGAAAAGATCAAGTTGTCTCAAAGCATGTAAAAGGATAAAATCAGAGGCATTTCCAGCAACAGGGAAGATGTGGAGAAAGCAGTTCTAGTTAATCTCAGTATTATGGAGTCACTATCTGATGAAACATGAACAGTTGTACCAACACTGAAAGTACCAAAAAAAAAAAAAGGAAGATTCCCCCTCCAAAGAAGATCCTCAAAAGAGGAAACAGATGAGAAATTTCAGATACTCTGAGAAATCCCAGTATTACTTGGCAAGTCATAAAGTAACTGACACATGTCAGAGCTGGAAAAACCACCTCTGTGGGGTTGGGACAGAGAGGTTCTTTACGGTAAGAGCCCTGGGCTAGCGGTACATCTCCACCCCTCCGTGTCTGGCCACAGCATTAAAAGAAACAATGATCAAGAAATAACATATCCCCTTCCTGGACATCTGCCCACCCTCTCCAGGCATTTTCCATCAGCCCCAGGATCAGGTACTGCAAAAATCAAATCCAATTCGCCCTGAACAGGCCATGCAGGTCATCAGCTTTATTTCACCCACCAGTACAATGCCTGTCCAGAAGAGCCCCCACAAGGCTGCCCACCACTGCACACACAGCCATACTGTACACACTCCATGGGTTCTGGTGATCTCTTTCCAGTCAGCTGGAGTGTTGTGGCCTGTCTTAGTGTGACAGGGAGGGCAGACAGCCTCCTCGCTTACAAGACTTTCTACAAAAATGTCTTGATGGTAGCTATCAGCCATCTGCTCTGGTTTAGCCTTATAACAGATACAGCCAAGCTGACAAAGAACCACTCTTCTCTCTTCTGCAGCAAGTCCAGAGCATGCCAGCATGGTAGGGAGGAAACAATACACAGGGGATTGAAGGGAGCTCTCTTACAGATGCAAGCTTTTAAAGAGCTTATGGAGAAATCTAAACTTGAAACTTTATTAAAATCATGGGAAGTAAGATGAACGTATTATTTACAAGGCACACTGATGAGCTGCAGTATGCACCTGCAACTTGGCCAAGTAAGGATCCTTCCAGTTTGGGTGTTGCTGAAGCTTTTGAGAAGTCAGCTTCTTGTGAGGGTAAGTGGCTTCACATTCACTCTGTGAAGGTGGTTCCTTTGGAGGAAGCAACAGCTAAGGCTTTTCTGGAAAGTCCAGACAGCACCCTGGCATGGGCAAAGAACAGACTAGAATGCTGTGATTTTTCATTTGTTTCCATTCAAAATAATTAGAGGAACTGATCTCACTGACAATGACTGACAAAACAGCAGCTCTAGGACTTTGTTGCCTATGTACAATCATGCTTTAAAATCTCTCTAGTGTTTTTTTTCCCTATATACACCCTTTTTTAAAAAAAAAGTTTAAAAAACTGGAAGAGAATTATGGGAGAGAAATCAGGCTGTGAGAGATCAGGAAAGGGAACTACCACAAGGAGAGAAGGCCTTAGGGTAAATGTCTTCCTGCAGCACTCACTCACACATAGAACCCACACTGCTGCTGAGCAGTAAGGCTTTTTTTTAATTGAGCAATAATGAGCACATGAAAATAAGGGATACACTTTCCTGTTAAGAATCACAGACTAGGTTTTCAAATCTCTTTGTTGTATTTGTGTGGCTATTTTCATCCATAACTCTATGCTCAGTTCAAAATGAAGTATGTGAAGTGAGGTACAAGTACTACTGTGTTAAGCAGACAAAATATTCTGTGCGTAACAGGTTAAGGTCCCTCTGCCAGACAAAATGAACTGGCCACACAGAAGCTCTCTCCTTTACTGGTCACCACTGTAGTTACCATCAAAAGCCTCAGAACAATCACTGAAGTCTACCTGTATCAGACTAAAGGATGTATTTCCCCTCCACCAGGCCAACTCAGTGAGGACATAAGTGCTTCTACTTCATCTCCACACAGTTAGGTTGATTTATATCATCACTGAACCCAGTTCAAGCTAACACAGCCAAAGAGAGACTCAAAGAGACTAGAAATATTCACACAGTATGTTATCATGGGATGATAAAGTCTTAAGTTATTATGGATGCAGCTGGGAACATTTATTTGTCTATACTTGTCTTGATGTAAGAATAATTCTGAAGACAATTCTTCATTTCTTGTATGACAACGATACAAAGCCAAAACAAAGAAAATTAGATCCTGTCAGCTTCTACATGAAGTAGCTAATAAGAAAACACTTTCATTTGTACAGTAGTAGGAAAAGAATTATACCTCCTTTTTGTTCTCCTTGCTTTGTTCAACTTCAATATCAATAGGGTTATTTCCATTTGCTTCCTCCATTTCATCCTCACTGGAAGACAAAGGTGAATAGTATTGTATTAGTTTGTGAGGCTCTTTTTCTATAAATAGCATACTAAGAGAAATGCATGGATGCAATACCAAGTCCAACAGCTTTCTTTAGTTTTATTCCCAGAGTGGTTTTTTAGAAGGTTGAGGTAGTTTTTTGTTGGTTTAGGATTTCTTATTTATTTATTGGTTTAAATCAAGAAATTCTTAATTATTAAGATAGTAGGGGCCATGTCTTGTAAAGGAAGACTTCTCAGTAGTGCATTGCAGCCAAATAAGTCTGCTTAGATGAAGGCAATATACAAATTATCTTTTAAAGAATGTGGGACACTTAGCATCTTAACTTCAGGCAAACAGGCAGAAACAAAAACTTAGAATTACAGCAAATAGTTAAAACACAGATTTCATACAACTCTAAAATTTAGCAAAATAGACATGCACAAGATGAACTCTCTCAAGAACAACGATAAAAAAAAATGTTTGGTTGGGTGATTTTTTTGTTTGGTTGTTTTTGTGGGGTTTGTTTGTTGTTGGTTTGTTCTCCACCCCCCCTACATCCCGACAACAGCCTCATGTTACATTCTCCCCTGGAAAAGAAAAAGAGGTTATCAGTTACTGAATAGTAACAGGAATGAAGTTGGGGCCATACTGAAAGTGACCTTGCACACCTGGCCAGTTTGGCTTCAATGGAATTTTAATCAGATATTATATTGAAGATATTTTCATAATTCAGAATTTTTGTACTGTACACAACTGAAGTTAATTGCACCATTTGCTATGATGCCCAGAAATGGAAGAAATAAACCCACGTAATAAGAGCTTTTAAATAAAAAAAAAAAAAAAAAAAAAAACACCACACCCTATTTCATGTCAAACTTTGTAGCCTGAGAAAAGGACTTTGAGAGGGCTTGGGCTGGTGCAGGTACATCACAGCACCAGTGCATGGCAGGGCTGCACAGAGACCCCAGCAGCAGCTGTGCTGGGGTGCTGGAGCCAGCCGGGGTGTGTCACAGGGCACGGGGACAGCAGGTACCACCATGGCAAAGGAGGCATGTCCTGTCAGGTGGCTTGAGATGGCATCCACCTACACAACAGCAGTCATCACTTGTACAAGCCATTCCTACCCACTCGACCCACCTGACTTATGAGCCCATTCACAAGATATTTAGTTTGGGTAACTGGAATTCCAGGGATTAAACTCACAAGCAGCCCCTCCCAGAGCTGCATACACAAAGCCCCTCGCACACAGCAACCACTGAAAACTGGGTCCCAAATGCGCTGGGAGCTATTTTAATGGCAAACTGAGGGGCTGGGGAATTTCCCTGCCTAGCCACAGAAGAGATACAGCAGTATTCGAGTGAGATAGCTCAGACTGCCTCTTCTCTTAACCACATGTCCAAAAGAGCTTCCTTCTGTTCTCACCTAAGTTCAGATTTAAGCCTTTCTGCAAAGGCCAAACTCCATGGGCTTCTCTGTGCTTGTAGTCTGCTCTTCTACTCCAGCAAGTTCCCTAGACATGAGCTAGATCAAAACCCACCAAACTTATTTCTGCAGCTTTAGACACTGATTACTATGAACTGAAGAACACTCGAAGTTTTGCCAACACCCAATGGCATGGTACAACCTCAAAATCCAGACACCTCAAACTCACCTAGCTTTGCTTCCATTCCCTACATGGCTGCACTAACAAAGCCTTTGTGTGTGTAGGGGTTTGACACTCAAAGGGAAGAAGGAAAATCAAACATCAAGTTGATGGTCTGGTTCTTAGCTTGCTGCAGATGTAAACCAAATTACACATTTCCAACCCAGCAGCCTTCCTCAAAGATGAAAAAATTAAAGCACATGGCAGCCTATACAGTTCCTTCCCGGTCACCAGATGGTCTAAGGTGCTGCTTTTCCCAGCAAACAGGCAGAGGTACCAGTGAGGTGCATTTCCAAATTGCAGTAATTTCATTTATGAGCACACAACAAAAACAGAGGTAGTATTTAAAGGCTCTGAACTACAGAGCACAAGACAAAAAAAAAAGAAAAAATTACTCCTTATAAGAGATTCCCCCTCCCCCCATCATAAATAGGAAAAGAAAAAAAGGAGTATGGAGAGAATAAAAGTCAAGATAGTCTTAGAAGAGAAAGGAACAGAAGAGGAGACTCAGATCAGAGAAAGCCAACCAAACATTTGACAAGTTGGCTAGTAGTACTCTCTGTCCCTGCCTGTTGAGCAAGCATTGTTGATCTAGTGGAGATACGGGAGAGGCTGAGTGAGTCACTGGTGTAGTACAGCTCACCCCTGGAAACACATTCCTTCCCCCTTCCCAAACAGGGCTCACTCATACACGCCAGAGCCAGCAAATGGCTCCCTGGGAAGTGCTAGAGCAGTAGCTCTTTGGCAGGAAAAGCTTTTTCAGAATTTTGTTCAATGAGGTTAGGAGTCTTCCAAAGCAAGTGCACCTCAAGTTTGGTCAGCAAAGACATTAACTGTACTTTAAAGCAGGTCGAAAAGGTACCTATATCAAGCAGATGGAGTTTCTGCTGTTTAGACAGGGTTCCTCCCACACACACACACCTGAGGCCACCACATTTCTGAGACCATGTCAGCTCCAGAACCAGGCAAAGATACTGCCAGCAGTATACACAAGGCTACTGGCTGACCTGCCTTCAAGGGCTTGCACAGGTATCCAGGAGAGCAAACTTGCAAACAAAGCTGCACAAGCAGAAGTCAAGCTCCTCTGCTGAAGCTCAGTGGCTAGTGACCTCCCCAACACCACCACCTTCACCCAAATCCTAATGCACCCTTGCACTCCTTGGGACACTTCTGCCAAAGAACTCATCCTAAGTTCCCCTGTGCTACTCTCTTCTCAGTCTCTCTAAACCACAGCCATAACTTCACCTTTCTCAGGGAACAGAGCTTGGCCCAACAGCCTCATACTGGTAACAGCTTTCCAAGTACAAGCCAGGGAAAGGCTCCGTGTGTGCGCAGGCACAGGCTGCAGGGTGCTGCATGTTCTCACTCTACTGAGCACCACATGGAGGAAAAAGGCAGATTTCTAGCTCTTCATTACTTCCTTTTACAGTCCTGCTTATCAGCTTTCCTGGCTCGGCTGACAACAGTGCCCATCAGCTTGTAAACAGTTTTAATTTCATTTTCTCCACCCTGAAGCGGTATCAGAGAAAAAGCTTCTAGAGTGATGGGACAGTGACTACTGCACTACAGGGCAACCAGGAATGGCAGTGTGGGAAAAGGCCACGTGCCTAATTGCTGACAGATTCCTTCTGGCTTTAAGCAAAGCAAAACACGCACAACAGGGAAGAAAAGCGCGGAAAGGTGTGGCACCAGGAAACATTTTGGGGAAAGTCCTACATCTAGTTCCTTACAAGCTAACAGGAATCTGAGACAGTCAAAAGGAACCAGTGTGAGTCAATAGACAGCCCTTCTGCTTGCAAACCTACCTTTCCTCACGTTCCCTTTTTTGTTTACGAGCATGACGGTCCATCACACTGGTTTTAGTCCTCGTCTTCTTCCAGGAGTAGTAAAATTTCACCAGGCTGGCTATTGATTTGTCAGGAAGCTGTAAATTAAACATGTATCCTTTTATATGTTTATATGTAAAGTACCCCCAGGAGTTCACATACAATCAGTCTGGTTTTGTCAAGGAACATCTGATCTCGCTACACTAGATTCTCTCAAAGGCAGTCCCACAGCCTCTCCAAAAAAGGATCTATGGGGGAGTGTTTCAGGTTAGTGCCTACTATTTAGGACATCAAAAATCTCTGAAGAGCATCTCGGTGAGCCTCCACTTACCAGCCATCTAGCTGGTTCCCTTCAGAATAGAGGAACATAGCAAGAGCAAATCAAAACTGGGGCCTTGAAACTGAAGGAACAGTTTTAAAATCCAACACAGGCCTATGTAAGCAACCACAGAAACTGCTGAATTGCAGGCTACATCCCAAGTGTACCTTTGATGTTTGGTTAAAAAAAGCTTATTCATACCATTCACATGATGAAGTCTACTCAAAGATCTCAATAAAGATGTTTTCAGAAGGTGAAATGTTACTGTATGGTGAGCTGAGGATATAGGAAATCACGAGTCTCAGAGTTGCCTCTTTTTTTGTCATCTTAACATTCATGTTATTGCCCTGGTAGCTATGAATTAAAAGTCTGCCTCCAAAAAGTGTAAAACTGCATTAAGACTATTTCTCTACTTCTAAGGTGCTCTGCATGGATGTTCTTAGAGAACTTCAAGGTAAAAGCCCAGCCTTTCTTGCTGAACAAAACATGTTGAGATAAGTGTCTGGTTCAGCTTAGAGGGCATGACGAGTTGGGAGGAAAACAAAACTGTAAGCAAGAGCCAGATCTCTCTTATTCAGACACTGCAGTTGAAGTATTCACTTCAGGTAATCCTACTTCTCCGAGCACAAGTTGACTTTAGGTCCTAATAATGGATCACACCAGAACTACCATCGTGGCCACTGCTGCAGACAGGGATAAATCCATCTGTGCTGGCAAAGCACAGGTGCCATGCCAATGCTGTGTTGCCAATAACCATGCAGCAGAGGCTGGTACGCTGGAATTGGGAGTTCCACAGAATAAACTCAGGGACAGGGCTGTTCGTGACAAACATCCACTTGGCTACAAACACATGCTAAGAGTGCCAAAATATCAGTACCAGTTCCAGTAAATAATGTAACTCACTCTTCATTCTCTGGCTTGGATGACTTTTCCCCTCAGTTCCAAGCTGCACTGGTACTAATAGCACAGCATATATAAATTAACAGATAACGTGCTCCTGAGCCATTGATTCCTGTTACCCTGCTAAACACAAAGCTTTGTGCCATTTAATTCTTTCCATGCCAGATGGCTTTTCTGGGAGCAACAGTAAAAAAATATCATTACCTAGGGAACAGTGCATGAGGTTGGCCTCCCTGTATCGGAATGCACTCACTTCACTGGGGGACAGAACCATGCCTCTGCACCTAAACTGAACTGAGAATTTCTTGCTTTGGTATTTAACCAAGCAAGAGGGTGGGCTCTATGTTTTCTTTTTTCCTGGGACATGCCCCTTCCCTTCTCTTCCCTCCCCCCTGGTGAGAAGAATGGAATAAAGAAGAAAACAGCTTCACTATTCAGGAGTCCACAACTCTCCAGACTGCTGTTATCAGCTGTCAGTGTTATGTGCAAGCCCCATCATCTGATCCAAGGGAGTGGGAGACCCCAGGACTCGAAGAACATTTGGAAACGAATGCCAGTGAAGGAGCACTCAAGGAGAACATGGGGAGAATGAGTCTCTTCCTGCCACCCTTCTGAAAAGGGACCTGGCACTTTTTCTTCATACTTGGATGGTCACCTTTTGCTTTTCAGGAGGATCAGTAACACAGACCTTCACGTATGCTTTAAAGAGGCTGAACAGACTGCAACAGTCTATGCTCACTTCAAAGGGTCACAACCAACTTAACCAGGTCCTGTTGGAACACTTGAGAGGCACTTTACTGAAGGAGAGCAAAGAAAATCTGGTTCCCACCCAGGTGATGAACCACTTGAAGGAACTCTCAAGATCTAATTAATAAAAAAAATTTTACACCCTCCCCTTCCCTCTTTCAAAAGAGAATTGCACACACCCCAGCCGTTCCCTTTCAGACAGAAACCTACCCTTGAAGTTCTCAATTATGGTTTGAACAAAATATCACTGCTAACCAAAAGCAAAGAACTGAATGGTTGCAATGATGTATAAACCCCTACCACAGCATCCACTGACAATCCCAAATCACATTAAGCAGACTTAATAGATAAAACAAATTCCTAAAAAGCAGGCTATAAGAAAAGGAATTAACTTTGCACACAGAATCTTTACTGTGTGTGGGTGGGCACATGTGTACAGACCATGCCTGAACTCCAGCTGAGACATAAATGCTACCATAGCACACAGGGGACTAAAAACTAATTTCCAACCAAAAAAAATTGCACAGTTAAAGTCTATCCTGAACTAGTAAAGCACTTCAGGAAAACACTTCTACAGAGACTGAAAACAGAACAGTGTTGTTTCTTTCTGTTCACAGCTCTATTCTCCTTCTAAGGTCCCTTTGGACCTGTTGCCTCCCAAGAGCATTAGACAGGAGTTCAGCACACTCAGCACTGAAGACAACAGTCCAACCACCTGTTCTGCTTTTCCATTCCTGTGGCACCACTTACCATCTGCTGGATCCTATGAAAGGTTTTCCCATGAAAACTGAAGGCCTGCTCAAACAAGACCTTGTCTTCCACTGTCCACTCATCTGGAAATGGAGTAAAGTTTGGCAGATCTGCCAAAGACTTCTCGATGTTGTGCTTGTGCCAAAACAGCATCCCAAGGGCCTAGAAATAACATGGACACCAAGGGGACAATTGTAATCACAAGAAACATTATTATGTGCATGCAAAGGGAGAGCTACAGCATTTTTCTCAGGCAACACATTAAACAATTTTCCTTCTCAGCTACATTAGACACTTTACTGAGTGTAAGAAACCTAGAATCTGATGCTCACCCCTGCTAGGTTGTGAAGACCAACTTGAAGTTTAACCAAACCACACAGGTAGCAATACAATAAGAAAGCAGCAACAGAAAACAGGGAGAAGAAAACTGAAGAAATTACTTCAACCAATAGATCATGGTATGCACTGGAAAGCTAAGCAAAGACTTGGGAAGGCTGCCTAAAAAACAGGCTGGACTAAAGGAAGCTGCTTTGACAGTGCTAAACTCCCTTCATTTCCTGTGCAGTTAGGAGAACAAGTTAGTTGACAGGGTTTTTCTGGTTCTTTAGGGGTCTTTTGCTGAGGGGAAGGGGAAAAAGGGGGAGACGATGAAAGAACTGGAAAGCGGAAAGGCAGAGAGGATGCACAACCCTGACTTGCTGCTACAATGTCCCTGGTCCAAAAGAGGAACAAATCTCCTTCGTTCTGGGGGCTGCTCATTTGTTCCCTCAAGAGACACCTCATTTTGCTGTTGCAGTCTCTGGCTGTGTGTTCCAGAGCCGGAGCATGTGCTTCCCCACCTGCAGACCACCCTCCCCCCGCCATCCCGGGGGTGCTCGCTCGCAGCCACCCCTCTCCCGGGGCAGGCAGCCCCTGTGCGTTATGACACATCACCACATCTGGCATGCCAGCGGTCACAAGTCATTTTGGGAAGGCCTGACTCTGCAAAGCTAGAAACCAGCCTTTCACAATGGCTGTAAGGTGAAAACAGCCCCTAACCTGCTGAGTAAAACATCAGAGTAACCCGCCTGTCATATGCAAACCGGGCGTGGGTTTCGCAGCGGCAGCTACCCTCACCCCGGAGTTTCGCCCCGGCCGCTCAGCGCTACAAAATCCCTCCACCCTCGGGGCTTCCCCGTTACGCTTTGCTATGCAAAAAGCAGTTCCTTTATGGGATCTTGCTTCCCTCAGATTCTGCAGAGAGCATGTGTATAAACGTTAGTATTATCCAAGATCTTTGTCCTGACCCTACTGGCCTCTCGGTGCTGTCCAGGCACCCTCTTCTCCCTTTTGACACCATGCACAAGGAGGAGGAGTTCAGTTGCAGCACAGACTCTTGAGATGTCACAGGAGCCACCCAGCCACTTATCTCTATCCACTCTGGCAAGCATGGGGCCGAAGAAACTATTCTGCAGTCGCAAAGGACTGCACTTTCTCTCTCCAGCCATCTCTTTCAGCTTCAGATATAAGCTGTACCAAATGTCCCTGTGAGAAAGCACGATTAAAACAAGGTGGGAAACATTTTGGGAGTGCAGGGTAGTGTGAAATACCAAAATGACAGCAAGGGCTGAGTTAAACAGGTTTTCCTTATAGGCTGGTTTCAGAGAAGAGTAATGCTCCCCCCGCTACCATGCCATGCTACCCTCAGAGAGCTCTACGCTCACACACAGGTGAGCACAGAGCTTCCAGCCTCAGGGGTGCCTGACACAAGCTGGCAGGAGAGCGCAGCTCGCAGCGAGACTCGCTGTCGTGCTCCCAAAAGCCCGGGACCGCCATGGCCCAGCACAGCAGCTGTTCGCGACACCAGCTGAAGCGGGCTTGCCCTGCTGGAGCTCACTCACCCGACAGAGCCCGTCCTTTGCCAGCTCTGGAGCCAGCGAGGCTGCAGGGCCTCCCACCGGCACGCCGCGCCCCGAGGCCCCCAGCCGTCACCGACGGCAGCAGAGCCAACAGCGGGGCACCCGGCCAGGGGCAAGGGGAGATGAAGGGCAGAGCTCCGGGCGCAGCGCAGGCACGGCCAGCTGGATGGGGAAGCTGCTGGGCAGGGCAGCGCCGGCCCCTGCTCCTCCCGCAGCCCCAAGGGCGGGCTTTGGGCAGCAGCAACCTCCATGTGAGGACTGCCAGCCAAGATGCCTGCACAGAGGTCCCAAGAGTCCTGCTGCCGGGGGGATGTACGTGTGAGAAAGAGCTGCCTCAACCAGTAAAGCCCAGAGATGGTGGCCAAAAGCTAAAGCGAGTTCTCACTGGCTTCCAGGGACTCTGTATCAGCTTGTCCACAGTTACCCAGCCAACAGCAACTGTGATGATCCCTGCTGAAGAGAGAACGTCCCTTGGTAACACAACAAATCATCCTGATTTGAAAGCCTTGACGCCTGTTCCTATAAAATGAGTACGTGCCTTCCAGAATGATACAGGATAGATCCTCTCCAGTTATTTCCTGGAAGTGCCTAGCTTAGCTATCTAGGAACTGTCAAAGGACCTGGGAAGCACATTTAACTCCAGAGTAGTATGTGAGAATGCAAGGGAAGGAACTAGTAAATTTTCCGAAGACAACACTTTTTTTACAAGTTGTTCAGCTATTTCACATCTGGTGTGGCGAGTCCCATAACTTCTACTTCCGTACACAGAGGACAAGAGAAAAATGGGGAGAAAGACTTCAAGGAACGAGTGGGAGGTCTGTATTTCCAATGTTAAATTGAATGCAGATCTCTGATAGCCAAATCTAAGTTCTCAAAACACAAGAATTCAGTGGCATTTTTTAAATTACAAGTTTCATTTTGATCAGTCTTCCAGATCAGTCTATACTCTCTGAATAACATTTTTCCACTAAAATAACAAATAACTATTTTTATTACCCTGAGACCATCTCTTTTGGCAAATATTACCCACAATATCCAATACTAGGATATATCCATCCCAACTGATGTGAGCTACCATCCTTATTTTCATTTAAGTTCACAGCCTTCTGGTGTCTCCATTTTCCTTTTTTGCTGTTTTCAGCTCTTAAATATCAAGTCTGATCCCTCCTGATTTTGCTGGAAATTTTGCTGGCTATCTCAACTCCAATGCCCTTGTTCCTGCCTATATGAGCATGAGTATCAACTACCGAAAGTTTGACTCAAAGGTGACAGCAGAGTGATTTAAAAAGAAACCTTGCCCATCCAAATCACCGGTTTCTGTGCTCATGGCCTTTACCCAAACAATTTCATAAACTTTCAAGTTCTCTTCCTTTGCAAAGGCAGTACATGACTTGCCAATACAGTAAGTCAGAGGACTCCTCACCTTCCCTTTTCTGTCAAAGATTAGTGCATAATGAAACTCCACAGAATTCAGGAATCTTCTCAGGCACAGGTCTATTCATCTCCCCAGATGAGTGTTGAAATCAACTTTAGTTAACACAGGAAAGATTAGTACGCAATCCTAGACCACATGAAGTAAAGGAGAGGTCTGCTCCTCAGACCAGGACTTCCATCCCTAGGCTCAAGGCACTGGCTGACCTCAGGGACAGCAGGTGACTTCATCCACTGCTACTGCACAGACATCCAACGTGTTCACCTATGACATGCACAATGATGTGCAGCACAGTTAAGGTAAATAGCCATGGCTCTTGGTTTGCCTCAGAAAAGCATATGATGGTTCAATAGCTCATTAATAACTGCTAATACATCCAAGCAGCAGAGGTGGAGCAGTAAACTGGAAAACACAATGCAACTGGGCAGCTGTCCAAAGACAAGCCAATCTGTTTAACTTTGTGCAGGGGTTCTGAAAGTGTTCATGGTAGTCACCATAGGAAGCATAATACTCATGGCTAAACTCCACTAGAAATTACAAGGGTTTTGGTTTTCTTCTTTTGACTCTTGCTGTAAAACCAGGAATGAACTCCGTGTCACCAGGGCACAGGTTACTATTGGGAACAGTCAGTTTTGGGAGAAGGTAGGAGAGGGGAAAACAAGACAGTACATAAGGAAAGAAGCCATCCTAGACAGTCATCATCTCTTAATACTTGCTGAAAAAGATTTTGAAATGAGTATTCAAAAGGTTGTTACCTGCTCCATATTGTATCCATGCTTCTCTTTAGCAATGGCAATATATTCATCCACTGAAAAACAAAAACAAGGCATAAGAGGATTGCATTTAACTATCTCATCTCTTTTTCCCTTCCCCTTTCCAGTCAGCTTTGACTTCAGTTGTGCTCACTGCATCCTCCACAGAGAACTCTCCTGAATGGCTGCTGTTTCCAACAGTTCAGGAGTGGAAGTAAACAAAAGAAAAAGTAGTCAAACTACTACATATTTTCCTTAATAAGCCTAAATGATGCAAAAATATCCAATCCAGTTCCAGTGCCTCTGACTGTGGCATATAGTATTTAAGGTGTTGTTCAGCAAAGCTAGAGACATGACTGTATCAGCTACTTTTTTTTTTTTTTTTTTTAAACTCCCCAAAGCAAGTATTTTTTTTCCTTAAGAAAAAAGATCCCTAGACAATCCTTACCTTCCAATACTGCCAGACTCCTAATGTTGCACAACCACTGCAGCTATCTTGGCAAATTTTTCAGCCCTTATGCCTCAGCAATTTTTGTCTTGGACCAAACCCCACCTCTATGTCTTATTAGGCCCCCAGGAGCTTTTAACCTTTGCAGTGTGAAGATGCCCTGAGGAGTTACGTTTTGTATAGATGGGACTAAACCCAAAATGTCTTTTTCAGTACAAGTGACTGAGCTCACATTACATGCAACAGCACCCATATGAGAGGGTTGGATCAAAGTCAGCACCAGCAGTAGCATTCTGAGGTCTTTGCCCTTGTGCCTGGTCATCAGTAAATGCACTGTAATGACAACAACACCCTTGGGGAAAAAAGACAAGCTAAGAGGAGAACTCCCACTTCACCTACTGGAGTGGAAGATGCTGGAGGCACTGGTTATCTGTAGAATCCTCAACTTGCACGTACCCCAGAAGTCTTAGAATTGGTACATGCAGCCATAATTCTCATTCTTCTCTACAAATTTTGGACTTCAAGACAAGTCACTTGCCAATGAACTCAAAAATCATTCCCCCTTCCTTTTCTGCAGATACCCGGGGAAGGAATGCAAGCAAATTCCTGTGCTGAGCACCCAACTCACGGAGAGCACGCGCAGCACCTCCGGAAGGAAATGGTTATGTCCACACTGCAGCTCAGGAACCCACATTTCCCACAGTTTGGGCCTCATGATTAACTTCAGCTCTCAATATGCTTCTCTCACATCTTCTGCCTTCATGAGAACTCTCGCATCAAGCCTCTGGTGTCTAATAGCATGGCATTTCTTACAGCCTTGCCTTCAAGCTGGGATGCTCCTCAATTCCTCCTTCAGCTGAGCAAACTAAGCAATGAACTCTCAACATATCAGGGAAATTGAGAGATCAGAAAATCCACAGTGAGAGAACACCAGCCTCTTACTTTCAGCTTGCCATCAAAACACAGACATGACATCTAGGTACTTAGAGTAGGCATCCTATCTTACTAGACAACATGACATGTGCTATCCATCCCTGCCCTTAGAGACGCTTTAGTTCATTTTCACAAAAAGGTGTTGCAAAAAGGGGCTTTGTGAAGTGCCATGGAAAACTCCACAAGAATATTAATAGAGCCGCATGTTGAGGCAGGAGAAGAGCATGCGGTAAACACAGGCACGGTTCCACGTTAGCAAGGACATTCCATGAGGTTCTTGCTCTTCCAAGCTCCCACCTGAACAAAACGGGGACTCCCAGGGGACTGACAAAACTGTTTGTTGGACCACATTCTGGATACACTCAGTAAAAGTTTTATTAGCCCCTGGGACAAAGGTGTAGACCAAATCAGTCATCTGCACCCCTGCAGCACAAACATCTGCCTCTCCAAGTCAACAAATTGTTTCTAAGGACCATGTGCTGAACAGGGATGGAAACCATTCCTTCTTGCAAACCTCACCTTGCACAAGGTAAACAGATGCACACAGTGGAGCTGATGGGGACATTAATAAAAATTTCTCAGGCTGAAATCACTGCACAGCCTAACGGAACACCCTGAGGTTTACCAAAGGGTAGGAACCTCAAAAATCAACTTTGCCACAGAAAGAAAATAGTGCAAAACCACACCCTAAGGGGAGAATATAATCCACTCCTATTACTGGGGTACACAGGAGAAATGGGGACAGAGAAGGGAACTGCCCCCTCCCTCCACACCGTTCCGTCCCTCCACACACTGAACAGTGCAGGGAACATCAATACCCATGTGGATAGAAGAGCAATTTCAGATGCTTCCAGACTTTATAACCACACCAAAACCAAAGGCTGCCAGGAAACTCTTAAGAGCAGCATGTCCCTGTACTTCAGTGCTCTCAGCTTCTTCAGGACAGGTATTGCACATGCAGTGTTATATATTTTGTCTAAGGGGGAGGTGAAGGAAGGGGGAGGGAAAGAAGTTGAATTCTCTGAAGTCCAAGGCTGAATTAAGCTCCTGAATGCTAAGTACTGCTGCACTCCCTAGCTTGCTTTCACTGTGGAAAGATCTACAGTTCCTGATTTGACTTCAGCATCTTATCCTTTAATATGTACAGGGAACAAATGAGATCGTTCTCCTTTCCAATGTATTACTTTTCTTAGGCCAGATGCTATAACTTATAAAAACAGACTTCCCCCTGCTTGTTCCCCACCTTGAAAAAAAAAAGTACAGCATTTTCTCTCCTAACTGAGCAAGAACATTAGCAAGGTCCCCACATACCAGCAGGATTTCTCTTAAATCATGTCAATATGCCACAGAGCCAAACAGTGGGCTATGAGTGATCAGACACCATGGATGTAGGCAGGATGCTTTTCTTGCCACAGTGGGGTCAGTGTCACACCTCACTGTTACAGCAGAGGGAGAGAAAGGAAAATAAGAAGAGGCAATAACGCAGCAAACCTGCCATAAGCACAGAGCAATGCTCCTTCTGCACACTAAATGTTTGTGGATGAACGAAGGACAAGGAGTACACTGCCACACTCTACTCTTGGCTTGTTCTGTGTCTGCTTACTGACAATCTAGCCCATTCTGCTTGTCATTCCTTGGCTAATTGCGGGCTCGCTTGCTTTGATGCTTGCACCATCTGAGAGGTATGACAGTCCCTTGAGTAATCCTTCTGATTGCTCTTTCTCTACCAACTCCCTGTATATGAAGTTAGCAAGAAAGTGTGGCAGCAGCTGAGTCACAGGATCCCTTTAGTCTCCCATACCAGCAGAGCCAGGAATTGCCATAAGCTTAGTGCTTCACATGCCTCACCAGATAAATAAGTGCCCTCTTCCATCTCTGCCTTCCACATGGATCTCTAGCAAGCCCAGGGCAGCAGGCACGTGAAATTCTGCTCCACTAGGTTTCAGTGGCATTCAGTCGTGCTCAGCATGTAACCCAGCAATCTGTTCAGACATCAGAGTTCAGAGCCAGAGGAGCCTGCGGCAGAGCCCTGCTTACACCACAAGACAGTTTGCCAGCACAGCTCCTAGCTGCCTTCCAGAAGAGAATAAGCCAGAGCAGCAATCTCATCCCATTTCCCCCAGCATAAACCATATACTCTTTCTACCATCATTATTCCTCCCCAGATACAGCAGACAAGAGTATCTTTTCCCCTCTCATTCAGCTCATTTCTCTATGCCAGAAAGATTTTGGCACAGACCAGGCCAAAAAGACACCACCACTTGAACAGAGACAGCCGTGTGACACAGGAGACGCTTTGCTCCTGCGAAGGCTCCTGTTGCTACTAGAAACCAGATGGGGAAGGACAGAAAAGAGGATCATAAACTGGTATGTCTTTACCTGTTTGGCTATATTTCTTAAGTGCATTTTAGCTGGATGTGGTGAGCAGCAACCCCCCTGTCCACTCCAAAACAGAGAGAGCACTGGTGCAAAGCACCTCTTCCTACAGCCAGTCAGACTCAGGAAGGCAGAAGTAGCACAAAAGGTGGGGACACAAAGTGAGCAGAGCCCCACGTACACACTGTCATCAGCAAACAGAACCATGTTCCAACACGCTCCAGAACAACTAATACAATTAAATGACCAAAGGACCCCAGGTGTATCATTAACACCCAAAGAGACAGAGGAAATGGAAGGGAGTGGGAAAGGAAGCAGAGAAAGATGCTTCCTCCCAGCACCTACAGGAGAGTTTCTGACCAACATGGTGCCGTTGACCCCCTGAATTTTGTACTCCCATTTCCAGCCATTTTCTTCATACACCGTTTTCTTCCACTAACCACCTTCCTGTAAGAATTCCTCACTAGAGGCAAAAGAAAGGGGACCCTTTTGGCTGACAGAAGGAAAGAGAGACAAGAGCAAACAACTGCATTGCTGATTTTCAGTCCTGCTTCTGAGAACAGTAAATTGAGAGATGTAAACCAGGAGCATTAATTTCAGGGTGGGAAGGAAAACTCTGAAAAGAGAAATGCCTGAAAGCAATCATTTCCCCCAACACCATTTGATCAGATTAAATGATCTCTCTACTGGGTCTTTCAGGAGAACTTCTCCCCCCCTACCCAAATTGCTTCTTAATGACCCCACAAGCATCACACCGTGTTCAGTGGACTCAGTAACCCCAAGGAGGGTTTGCAGCAGAAGCGAGTGTGCTAAAGCCTATAGAAAGCAACAGGAATGCAGAGGTAGAGCTGTTGCTGCAACCTCAGTTCACCCCGATTACTGGGGTACTGCAGGAGCTCTGAACACTTTGCATATTACGTGATGCAATACCCTGACAGAATGGGGTGAAATGAGGACAAAAGCAGCAGCCTTCACAGCCTCAGTAATGTGCTTCACAGGGTTTGATCAATGCTTGAACCTGTGAGGAATTCTAGATGTTGCTGTGTATCTCCCCCTCCCACCCACCTCCCTGGAGAACAGAAAAAAAGTCAAGATCCAGAATAAATCAAAGTTATATAAAGAAAATTAGCAGCATGGATTAAACACATATATGTGAAATTCTTCCAAGTTTCAAAACACAATTATGATGGTACATGAGCAACTAAGCACAGTTTTTTCCTTGGCTATAAAAATGAGCAGCTGCATTGCTGTCCTGCCGCCCTCACAGCATCAGTGGAACAATCCTGCCACCTCGTGGGC